TTCATGACAGCGAGAAGAGAAAGTTCGAGAAAAGAATGGTAAATAGGATGAAAATTAACGGGAATTCTAAATCATCCTTTTCTAATTGAGAGTTGAACACTAGGCTGATTTAGAAAACCGTAAATGAGGTGCTTAAGTTAAACTAATATGGTTAAGCCACAATTACTCAGTAAAATCTCTTTCTCGGTGGCTAAGCTAGATTAGTTTTAGTTAAACTTGGCCACTTAAGCTAGTGAAACAATTAGTTGCCTAAACTAATTAGTTCCTAGAACGAAAGAGACGTGGTTGGAGATGGACAAAGAGAGTTAGAGAAAAACTTTCTCCTTGGGAGCTAGAAGAGAAAGTTAGAGAAAAGGAAAGGAAACGGGATGAAAATTAAAGGGAATTGAAATTCATCCTTTTGGACTTGAGAATTGAACACTTAGGTGATTTAGATAACATTAAACGAGTTGCTTTTGTTAAACTAATATCGTTAAGCCACAATTGCCCAATAATTTTTTTTTTTTTTTTTGGGAGGCCAATCAAGATTAGTTTGGGTTAAACTTGGTCCCTTAATTCACCCAAAAAAATTTTAATTCACCCAAAAAAACTTGGTCCCTTAAGAAAATGAAACAATGTCTTGCGTAAACTAATTAGTTCTAAGAACAAAACGGAGAATGATGGAGAAGGACGTGGAGAGTTAGAGAGAATCCTTCTTCCTGAGAGCTCAGAATGAAAGTTAGAGCAAAGAAAAGGGAAATAGGATGAAAATTGAGGGGAATTCAAATTCGTCATTTTGGAGTTGAGAATTGAACTGTTAGGTGATGTAGAAAACATTACATGGGCTGCTTAAGTTAAAGTAATATCGTTAAGTTACAATTAGGTGATTTACATAACCTCAAACAAGGTGCCTAAGTTAAACTAATAACGTTAAGCTACAATTTCTCAGTAAATTCTCTTTCTTGGAGGTGAAGTATGATTAGTTCGAGTTAAACTTGTTCACTTAAGCCAATGAAACTGTTAGTTGCCTAAGCTAGTTAGTTCCTAGAGCAAAAGAGAGAGGGATGTAGAAGTACGAAGAGTGTTAGAGAGAAAAACTTTCTTCATGAGAGCCAAAAGAGAAAGAATTCTAAATCATCCTTTTCTACTTGAGAGTTGAACAATAGGGTGATTTAGAAAAACGTAAATGAGGTGCTTAAGCTAAACTAATATCGTTAAGTCTCAATTACTCAGTAAAATCTCTTTCTTGGAGGCAAAGCTAGATTAGTTTGAGTTAAACTTTGCCACTTAAGCCAGTGAAATGATTAGTTGCCTAAACTAATTAGTTCCTAGATCGAAAGAGAGGTGGTTGGAGATGGACGGAGAGAGTTAGAGAGAAACTTTCTCCTTGGGAGCTAGAAGAGAAAGTTAGAGAAAAGGAAAGGAACCGGGATGAAAATTAAAGGGAATTGAAATTCATCCTTTTGAACTTGAGAATTGAACACTTAGGTGATTCAGATAACATTAAATGAGTTGCTTTTGTTAAACTAATAACGTTAAGCCACAATTACTCAATAAATTACTCAATAAATTATTGTTATTTTTTTTTTGGAGAATCATCAAGATTAGTTTGGGTTAAACTTGGTCACTTAAGCAAATGAAACAATTAGTTGCCTAAACTACCTAGAACAAAACAGAGAACGATGGGGAAGGACGGGGAGAGTTAGAGAGAATCCATCTTCCTGAGAGCTCGGAGGGAAAGTTAGAGCAAGGAAAAGGGAAATAGGATGTAAATTGAGGGGAATTCAAATTCATCATTTTGGAGTTGAGAAGAGGGATGTAGAAGTACGGAGACTGTTAGAGAGAAAAACTTTCTTCATGAGAGCTAGAATAGGAAGTTTTAGAAAAGAATGGTAAATATGATGAAAATTAACGAGAATTCTAAATCACCCTTTTCTAAATGAGTGTTGAACACTAGGGTGGTTTAGAAAAAAGTAAATGAGGTGCTTAAGTTAAACTAATATCGTTAAGCTACAATTACTCAGTAAAATCTATTTCTTGGAGGCTAAGCTACATTTGTTTGAGTTAAACTTGACCACTTAAGCCAGTGAAACGATTAGTTGCCTAAACTGATTAGTTCCTAGAATGAAAGAGAGCTAGTTGGAGATGGACGTAGAGAGTTGGAGAGAAACTTTCTCCTTGGGAGCTAGAAGAGAAAGTTAGAGAAAAGGAAAGAAAACGAGATGAAAATTAAAGGGAATTGAAATTCATCCTTTTGGCCTTGAGAATTTAACACTTAGGTGATTTAGATAACATTAAATGAGTTGCTTTTGTTAAAATATTATCGTTAAGCCACAATTACTCAATAAATTATTATTATTTTTTGGAGGCCAATTAACATTAGTTTGGGTTAAACTTGGTCACTTAAGCAAATGAAACAATTAGTTGCCTAAACTAATTAATTCCTAGAACAAAACAGAGAACGATGGAGAAGGACGGGTAGAGTTAGAGAGAATCCTTCTTCCAGAGAGCTATGAGGGAAAGTTAGAGCAAAGAAAAGGGAAATAGGATGAAAAATGAGGGGAATTCAAATTCATCATTTTGGAGTTGAGAATTGAACAGTTAGGTGATGTAGAAAACATTACATGGGCTACTTAAGTTAAAGTAATATCGTTAAGTTACAAATAAGTGATTTACAGAACCTCAAATACGGTGCCTAAGTAAAACTAATAACGTTAAGTACAATTTCTCTGTAAATTCTCTTTCTTGGATGCCGAGCGTGATTAGTTTGAGTTAAACTTGGTCACTTAAGTTAAGGAAACTGTTAGTTGCCTAAGCTAGTTAGTTTCCAGAGCAAAAGAGAGAGGGATGTAGAAGTACGGAGACTGTTAGAGAGAAAAACTTTCTTCATGAGGGCTAGAAGAGAAAGTTTGAGAAAAGAATGGTAACTAGGATTAAAATTAACAGGAATTCTAAATCATCCTTTTCCACTTGAGAGTTGAACAGTAGCGTGATTTAGAAAAGCGTAAATGAGGTTCTTAAGTTAAACTAATAGCGGTAAGCCACAATTACTCAGTAAAATATCTTTCTTGGAGTCTAAGCTAGATTAGTTTGAGTTAAACTTGGCCACTTAAGCCAGTGAAACAATTAGTTGCCTAAACTAATTAGTTCCTAGAACGAAAGAGAGGTGGTTGGAGATGGACATAGAGAGTTAGAGAGAAACTTTCTCCCTGGGAGCTAGAAGAGAAAGTTAGAGAAAAGGAAAGGAAACGGGATGAAAATTAAACGGAATTGAAATTCATCCTTTTGGACTTGAGAATTGAACACTTAGGCGATTTCGATAACATTAAATGAGTTGATTTTGTTAAACTAATATCGTTAAGTCACAATTACTCAATAAATTATTATTTTTTTGGGGGGGGCCAATCATGATTAGTTTGTGTTAAACTTGGTCACTTAAGTAAATGAAACGATTAGTTGCCTAAACTAATTAGTTTATAGATCAAAATACAGAACGATGGAGAAGGACGGGGAGAGTTAGAGAGAATCCTTCTTCCTGAGAGCTAGGAGGGAAAGTTAGAGCAAAGAAAAGGGAAATAGGATGAAAATTGAGGGGAATTCAAATTCATCATTTTGGAGTTGGGAATTAAACAGTTTGGTGATGTAGAAAACATTACATGGGCTGCTTAAGTTAAAGTAATGTCGTTAAATTACAATTAGGTGATTTACTGAACCTGAAACAAGGTGCCTAAGTTAAACTAATAATGTTAAGCTACAATTTCTCAGTAAATTCTTTTTCTTGGAGGCTGAGCGTGATTAGTTTGAGTTAAACTTGGTCACTTAAGCTAATGAAACTGGTAGTTGCCTAAGCTAGTTAGTTCCTAGAGCAAAAGAGAGAGGGATGTAGAAGTACGGAGAGTGTTAGAGCGAAAAAATTTCTTCATGGGAGCTAGAAGAGAAAGTCTGAGAAAAGAATGGTAAATAAGATGAAAATTAACAGGAATTCTAAATCATCCTTTTCTAATTGAGAGTTGAACATTAAGGTGATTTAGAAAACCGTAAGTGAGGTGCTTAAGTTAAACTAATATCGTTAAGCCACAATTACTTAGTAAAATATCTTTCTTGGAGTCTAAGCCAGATTAGTTTGAGTTAAACTTGGCCACTTAAGCCAGTGAAACGATTAGTTGCCTAAACTAATTAGTTTCTAGAACGAAAGAGAGGTGGTTGGAGATTGACGTAGAGAGTTAGAGAGAAACTTTCTCCTTGGGAGCTAGAAGAGAAAGAGAAAAGGAAAGGAAACGGGATGAAAATTAAAGGGAATTGAAATTCATCCTTTTGGACTTGAGAATTGAACACTTTGGTGATTTAGATAATATTAAATGAGTTGCTTCGTACGGAAGAGGACATCCCTTTATTCCAAAATCTCGCTGATAGTATGTTGGTTGCTCGAAACAGACATGAAGCCAAGGGCTATGGAGGATCCAAGTCAGATCTACCCATAGAAAAGTAGTCAGATGTAAATCTAGGCCCTGTAGAAGCTGCACAAGTTACTGAAGAACCTCCTATTCCGAGTTTCAATGAAGAAGAAGGCCATGAAGAGATGCATTCTCGAAGGGGGAGGGGAACTCTAACTTCAGAGGAAGCAGAGGAGGTAGAGGTCAAGGGGGGGTAGAGGTCCCTATACACGAACCTGGGCAGATGTGGCTGCTTCATCTACCCGATCTAGCGTCCCTCTGAGGTATGTGCCTCCTAATCGCAGTGAGGGTTATGTCAGTGTGAACTTACCCCCACGTCCTAACCCTTTAGAAAAATGGGATTCGTGCTTGGTTGGGTACTTTCTGGATAAAGGGGTGTCATATAATTATCTGAGAAATAGTGCCTTTGGTCTTAGGAAAAATAAAGGATTGAAAGAGGTTTTAGCTAATGGGGAAGGTTTTAGTTTCTTTATTTTTGATGACCCAGAATGTTGTACCTCCGTTCTTGAGGGAGGACCTTGGTATATTGGAGGTTTTAACTTGTTCTTGAAAAAATGGACCCGCATGATGAAATTGTCTAAGGAAAAGGCTACCAAGGTTCCTGTGTGGGCTAAGTTTTTCAATGTCCCTTTTGAATATTGGGATAGTGATGGACTAAGTCGTATAGCTAGTGCTGTAGGTGTCCCTTTGTTTATGGACCAACTTACGGAACAGGGTAGTAGGGTGTCCTTTGCTAGGGTGTGTGTTGAGGTAGAAGCAACATCTATCTTAACTGCTATGTTTAAGGTGGACTGTGAAGGAGCGGATGCCATAGTCAAGGTCGAATATCAAGGCTTACCCCCAAAATGTGAACACTGCATAGCCTTTGGGCATGATACAGCTAGATGTGTAAAAACTCAGGTTGCGGCTCTAATCAACAGCCAAAAAGAAGTACAAAATCATCCTGACCCTGGTTGGGAAACTGTCATGGCCAAGGGCAAGAGGAAAGTGGGTGTTCCAAATACCTCTACTGAGTCAGCAAACAATGAGGAGCCTAAGGAGGATGGCACGCAACAAACTGAGGAAGAGCAGCCAGAAATGCAAGCTCAGGTGGAGACCGCAGATGCATTACCTGATCAAACTTACAGAGAGGTGCTGAGCCCAATAGATGGTGAGCCAAAGGATGATAATATGGATGGATTGGTGGCCCTTCAGAAGGAACTAGTGGAAATTACAAGTTTAATTCTTCCCCATGACACAGAATTGATGGCTAAAGTGGAGAAACTTGTGGAATCCACTCCTGGCAAAGCTCAAACTAGCAAGCAAGCCCAAGCAGGCTCAAGTGCAAAAGGTAACTCCTCTGGCAAGGGCAACAAAAGCCAGAGGAAGAAACGCAGGTAATCCCAGTTTTATCTGGTTTGTGGGTTTCGAATTTTTTGCTCTGTCAAATGTCTTTAAAAATTGCATCTTGGAATGTTAGAGGATTTAATAATCCTCACAGACACAAAGAAGTTAGAAAATTTTTGCTGCATGAAGACATTAAAATATTGGGCATTTTGGAAACTAAAATAAAAGCTTTGAATGAACAACAGATTTTTTCGTCTGGTGTTAACAATTGGCCCTTTTTGACAAACTCACAACCTTCTAAAACTGGGCGGATTTGTGTTTGCTGGGACTCAGCTTTTTGTAAAGTTCAAAAGTTACATGACTCTGATCAGTTTATTTTTTGTAAAGTGCATGATTTAACTACGGACTATATGTTCAAAGCCTGTTTTGTCTATGCTGGGAATAAACATGAAGTTAGGAAAGATTTTTTTGAGTATATGGTTAAAATCTCCCAAGCTCAGTCCAATACTCCTCTTGTAATTTTAGGGGACTTCAATGCTATTAGATTCCCTTACAAAAAATCTGGGGGTTCTGTTAGTTGGTCTAAGGATACAGAGGAGTTCAATTCCCATATTTTGCAAGCTGAGCTGGTTGATCTCTCCTATGGAGGTTGCCAATTCACCTGGGCTAATAAGAGAACTAATGGGGATTATATTGCTTCCAAGATTGACAGAGTGCTGGTAAATGAGGCTTGGCTTGATACATTCCCTGCTTTATTTGCTACCTTTTTGCCCTCGGCCATATCTGATCACTCTCCTGCTGTGATACATATCTCTGATAAGGTGACTTCCTTTAAGAAACCTTTCAAATATTTTGACTTTTGGGCTGACCATGAGGATTTCTGCTCTGTGGTTTCTACAATTTGGAACCAGTACATTCAGGGTGTCCCTATGTTTAGAGTGTGTCAGAAATTGAAAAATCTGAAACCAGCTCTAAAGGCTTTGAATAAGAAAGACTTCAATGACATTACTACTAGAGTCCACACTTCTAGGTCTGAGCTCCTTTCTGCTCAGTGTAAGTTAGACAAGGATCCTAATAATGTTTCTTTGCAAAAGCTTGAGAGAACTTTGTATAAACAGCATGTTGATCTTCTGGCTGTTGAGGAGAGCTTGGCCCACCAGAAATCTAGAGTCTAGTGGCTTAGTCAGGGTGATAGCAATAGTAGGTTTTTCTTCAAAACTATTAAGGGTAACATTAATAGGGGTAAAATCTTGAACTTGGAGATGATGAATGGCCAAAAATCTTCAAAACCTGAGGTCATTCACAATGCTTTTATAGATTTTTTCTCTGGTTATTTTGGTACCCCTATTGATGACCATTATAATGGGTTCGATAGAATCCATTCTCTTGTTAAGTCTAAAATATCTTCTGACCAATCGCTATTGCTTGCTAGCCCTGTGACTGATCAAGAGATTAAGGACACTTTTTGGTCTCTTAGAGCCAATAAGGCCCTGGCCCTGATGGCTTCTCTGCTGGTTTTTTCAAAAGCTCCTGGAATATTGTGGGGAGAGAGGTCACTCAAGCTATTAGAACATTTTTTGAGTCTGGTAGGCTTCTTTCCGAAGTCAATAGTACCATCATAGCTCTCATTCCTAAGGTCCCCAATCCTGTTAAAGTGGGTGACTGTAGACCCATCTCTTGCTGTAATACTATTTACAAATGCATTGCCAAGATCATTGCTAACAGGATTAAAACTGTTCTCCCGGATCTTGTTGATCCCGTTCAGTCAGCATTTGTTCAAGGTAGGAGAATATCTGACAATATTTTTCTATCTCAGGAGCTTATGAGAGGATATCATAGGAAGTCCCCTACCCCGAAGTGTGCCATGAAAGTGGATATCTTTTTTTTGGGTGGGTAAGTCATAAATTAAAGACAAAAGTTTACATATTTACAAGGGGCATACCCCAGGTAATACCTTAAGGCTATAGCCTTTCCACCTGTCGTGGTTTCTTGGATCCAGGCCTGTATCACTAGTCCATCCTTTTCTATTTGCATCAACGGGAGTCTCCATGGCTACTTCAAAGGGGCTAGAGGGTTGCGACAAGGTGATCCCCTGTCCCCTTATTTATTTGTTTTAGCGATGGAAATTCTTGCTAAAATTTTGGCTGAGAAGTCTATGCAACCGATGTTTAAGTTCCATTGGAGATGTGAGAAGACTAAGATTATAAATCTTTGTTTTGCTGATGATCTCATGATTTTTAGCAAAGGTGATGTGCCAACTGTTAAACTTATTATGGAAGGCCTTGAGGAATTTTCTAACCTCTCGGGCCTTACCCCTAATCCCAGCAAAAGTAACATCTACTTTTTTGGTTGTGAGATGGGGTTACGCGCGTCTATTCTTGGTATTGCAAAATTCAAAGAGGGCACACTCCCTGTTAAATATCTTGGTGTTCCCCTTATCACTACCAAATTGAGGGCCGCTAATTGTGCCCCCCTCATTGATAGGATCACCAAAAGGGTGAAGAATTGGACCAACAGAACTTTATCTTATGCGGGTAGGAGCCAGCTTATCCAATCCATCCTTTTTTCCATGCAAGTTTACTGGTCTTCCCTGTTTATCCTCCCTAAGAAGGTTATCAGGGAGATTGAAAGTATTCTTAGAGCTTTCCTTTGGTCTGGTAGTGAGCTCAAAACTCATAGTGCTAAGATAGCTTGGGATTCTGTGTGCGCTCCTAAAAATGAGGGGGGTCTTGGGTTTAAATCTCTTGATATCTGGAATAAAGCGGCTATAGCAAAGCATGTCTGGTTCCTTTTTTCTGGTGGTGAGAAGTCGCCAGTGGGTTAAATCCTATTTACTTAAGGGTAGAAGTTTTTGGAGGGTCAAAATCCCCCCTGACCCTTCCTGGGTTTGGAGGAAAATATTGTCTCTTAGGGACTGGATGTCTCCCCTAATTAATCACCCTCTTGGTCCTCTATGGAATAAGTTCGGGGATAGAATAATGTATGATTCTTGCCTCAACAGTGAGGCCAAAGTCAGTCAAATCATCGATGGTCATTCTTGGAAGTGGCCTATTCCTAATTCTTGGGAAATTCAGGAGCTGATCTCATCCACTCCTGAATGCTGTAAACCTAACCCTTCCAAGTGTGACCAAGTTATCTGGAAACTTACTACTGATGGTCAGTTTTCCATTCGCTCAGCTTGGAATCATTGGAGACATAGTTTGGGTAGAGTGGAATGGCATAAACTCCTTTGGGGCCCTCATAGGATTCCTAAAGTCAGTTTCATTGTTTGGGTAGCTATCCATAATAGATTGTATACTGGTGATAGGTTACTTCTGTCTCCCCATTCCCAATGCCCTTTCTGCCTTGACCCTGGGGAAAGTCATTCCCATCTCTTTTTTAAGTGCAACTTCACCAATAGAGTTTGGGGTGCTATTGAAGCCAAATGCAACATAAAGTGGC